CAGGGCGGGCGGATCAAAGTCGGAGGCCCCGGGGCGTGGAGCGCCTCCTGTCCCGCGGACGGGACCTTGGCTTTGAAGGGACCGATGTCAGCGGGGAGACTCTAGGGGCGTGTTCTGCCCCAGCAGAAGACGTCGCGGGCGTGGGCACGGGTGAAGATTCAGGGGGTGTTAGCAGAGGGTCTGGGGTCTGGTCCAGTGCCCGCAGAGGGAGGGGCCGAGAGCGCTCGCGCGCCTGCGCCCTGCCCGCGACCTTGCCGGAGCCTCCCCTGCACCGCGCGTCACGGGAGAAGGCTGTCTGCCTCCGGCCACCCGAGCTCTCAGAGGTCGCGCCCTCTCCGAGAGGGCTGGACCGGAATCCAGGCCAGAGGGCGCGGGCGGATGTTTATTGCTGTCGGCTGTGACCTTTACTCGGAGGGTCAGATCCGGTCAAACCCTTGTACTTTGTGGCTTCAGTGTATACTGTAGCTTCAAACGCTGGACTAGGGCGAAAGGATGCCCGTGCTTCTGACATTTTAAATAGGAATTTAATTGCTTGCGTAGCCGAGGTAACCCAATGCCAGGAGGCCGAGAAGGAAGATTACCGCCAGTTTGAGGCCAGCCAGAGCTAAGTAGCAGGACCTAACTCCTAAACAAACCAAAGCAAAACAGCTTCAGTGACTTCTACTTTTCTGAACATTTTCAAGGTTACTTAGTATCCATCCCTGGGGAAGTGGAAAGCGTCCTTGGGAACGCAAGCTGAGCCTCTCTAAAAGATCCCCTGCCAGTGAACATTGGGAATAAACATTTTGTTCACGAGTTCAGGGTAAAGTCGTATTGTCTTCCAGTTAGACCTAGTGTCTGAGGTGGTAGCTGGGGTCTTATGGAGGTAAGGGATTATAGAATTTCCAGTGTTGGGTACCTCAGCTGCCAGAGCTTAAGTATGCTGTCAGAATCTTCTTGCTCTCTGCTTCAAGCAAATAAGTGGGAGAGAGAAACTTATTTTTGAGCCACTAATGAACAACAAAAATTCTCAGCTTCTCTCTGCCTTGCGTGTCGCATTACCACACATACCAAAGCCTGAAACCTGTATGAGGATTCCATTGTGAGATAAATGGTCAGAACTATAAGATTAATCTTTCAATAATAATAATAATAGTAATAGTAGTAGTAATAATAAAGTCTTTCCTGAGAGATATTCTTCTAATAGTTGCAAGGGAACATTCCAGAAAAGAACGCCTTCCACTGAATGGTCTGCAAGTCTGATGAACTGTTTAGACCTCTGATTGTGGAGAGACTGGAATGTTCCAGAGTCAACATTATCTGGGCATTTGTAGCCTCCTTAGTGGCCGTTCGTTGCCTTCCTGTATGTGTGATCTAACAGCTTTGTGACCATAAGGTGAATCCTTTAGCATGTACAGACATAAACCTACCTCCCACCAGTCGAAAGCTTTAATCCCAGCACTCGGGAGGCGGAGGCAGGCGGATCTCTGTGATTCTGTCAGACAGCATCTGAAGCCTGGAGTGGAGACTCCCCCCCTTTTCTGTAGTGTTCCCACCAATGCACTTGAAGAGTGTGTTGATGCACGCATGACTTTCTTTGCTCTGTTTCCATTGAACTTCTTAGAATTGCTACTTCTCTGGAAGATGGGCTTTGTGGTAACCTGAATCTGTTCCCAGGCAGATGTTCAGAAAGCATGCCCCTGTCTCTGTCACAGGACGTTCACTTCCCTCTGCACACTCATCCTCAAACCGCAGTGGCAGGGCTTGGATAACACTCAGTATCTGAGTGATTAACTTGCTTGTGGAGAGTGCATCAGGAGTTAGACCCACGTTAAAAAGATGCAAATGAAGGGCACCTAGTGAAGAGCTGGAACTTCGGGGTGAGAACAGTTTCTGAGAGCTTGATATGTTGTCTCAGAACTAATTTGAACGTAACACTCCAGCTCTAAGTATTTATAGAACACCTTGTCTTGTGAGGCACTTTATCACACCTGTTTATTCTCTACTGTTGTTTGATATCCAGTGACAGTCAATATGTGTATTTTTCCAGTGCCTTTTATGTGTAATTTGTTTTCAAACCAGGATTCTATGAATGTTTTTGTATCTCAGGTTGGTTTTAACTTCTTTCTTTAAAAAAAAAATCTAATCCATTTCTTCTCAACGATACTATTTTTTTAAAAATTATACGTACATCTGTGTGTTTCTGTGCACATTTGAGGCCAAAAGAGGATATCAGATTTCCTGGAACTAGAGTTACAGGTGGTTGCAAGCCACTGGCCATGTGTGCTGGGATCCAGACTTAGGTCCTCTGCAAGAGCAGTACATGCTCGTAACTGCTGAGCCATCTCTTCAGCCCCCTTTTGTTTTCCTTTAAGAGGCCAAGCCACTTGCCTGAAACATGCCTTGTGTTGTGTATTCATGTTGTGTCTCTGGACCTTGAATTCTCTTTAAGTTGCAAGATACTAGAGACTTGAGCACTTCCTGGGCCATTCATATTGCTTGAATTAGGAAGCATTTAATGTCACTTTTGTCTCCTGATGATAAGTTTAGTTATTTGACAAAAGTGGTGACGTGTCAGTTCATTCTATGGCAAAGATTTAGTTTCCCCTTGGCTAGTCAGAAGTAACAAATAGGTTTTCTGCCCCAAGATAATAGGTTTCTATGCCAATGCAGTGAGCCAGATCAAGCCGAATTTAAAAAGTATAACAACAGGTATATGGAGCAAAGCAACTCCCAGGCGGGTTTACTGGTCTCAGAGAACAAGGCCAGAGAAGTCGAGTAAGGCAGGGAGGTTTTATAGATTGTAGGTGAGGGGTAATGGTGTGTCCGCCACAAGCTGGGATTTTGCCCAAGTATGGTCAAAAGCCAAGACTTAGGTGGGGCCCTGGGAGGTTGTCAGCATTGGGAGGAAGCTGCAGTGGCCGCTAAGAATGCGGAGCTGGGCTTTTGGCGCCTTTCCTTTGTTCTGAGACTCTCTGAGAAGGAGGGGCTTGGAGAGAGAGAAAAGAGAATGGGGCTACCCGGGCCATGCAGGGGTGAGCTGGAGGCTCCAACCGAACACTAACCACAAAGCTGTGTCCCCAGCAAGAGTGATATTTATACCCAGCCAAATGCAAATTTTATGTCTTCAGAAACTCAAAAGGAGAAGATACCCACAGTGGTAGGACAGTTAAGAATATGAACATTTAAGATGGGCCTGGTGACTCAAATCTATAACCCTAGCACTCTGGAGGCAAGTGTTGGAGGACCAGTAGTTCAAAGGCAGCCAGGTTGTTGAGGCCTACAATCCCAGGTAGGAGGTAGGAGGTTGCAAAGTTCAAGGCCTGGACTACACAGCAGGTGTAAGGCAAGTCTGGGCTGTTGGTCTGACCCACAGGTAGGGCAGAAGTGGGACCTGTCCAGCCGGTCTATCCCTTGGGGCTGAGGCTGAGCAGGATGGTGAGTGTCGATGACCCAGACACCCGCTGTCCACCGGAGAGAAGCACACTGGGCCGGGAGTCTTGTCAAAGCAGAAACTTGCTTTATTTCATCAGGAGTGGACTTATTACATAGGTTGGGGTGACGGGGTGACGGGGTGGGGGGTTGGAGGGTGGGGGGTTGGAGGGTGGGATGGGGTGAGGATAGCGGGCCAATGAGATGATGCCATCTGAGCAGTTACTAGGCAGAGGTGATTCTAGGTCGGGTAGTGCTGAGTCACTCATATGCAGAAGACATGTCCAAAGACAGGTCGCCAAACTCAAGCTAGGCTCGGGAAGTTACACTGGGCCTCATGCCCGGGCCTTATGGGGCCCAACATGGGCCACTCGACAAGACCTGTGTGTCAAAAATAAAAGTTAAAGACAGGCTGGGAACATGGGTCACTGGTAGAATGCTTGCCTGACATGAATGCAGACTTGAGAATAGCACCATGGTGGGCTTCTCCAGGTCCCAACCTGCATTAGGCCTGAGTTTCAGCTTCTGTTTCAGTTTCAGTTTCTGATAAGGCAGGTGGGGGAGATACTGCATACCAGGCATGATTCAGCACTTACAGCCCCAGCCAAACATGTTAATGTGGCTGCTGCTCACTTGGCCAATCATGTTTAGGATGACCTAATCGCCTCTATAAAAGGAGCCTGCGAGCTTCTCTGCGGGTCATCACCATTTTGCTGGGTGGCTGACCCTGGCATGCAGTAATTCTTCTCTAGAGAAATAAATGTTCTTGCTTTTGCATACGTGAGTGGTGTTCTTTTTGTGGGGTGATCTGAGGACCCCAATAGACTTAGGTTCAATTCCCACTAATGCTGAGAGGAAAGGGCGGAGAACAGACTGCACCTCCATTTGTCTTTGTAGTTTCTGATACCGTTGGCCTTGCCAATGAAAACCCAGGTGCATGCTCAGTAAGCTGCTGTTTGTAGAGCAAAAGTCATACCCAGAAACCACCGGCTCTGCCTTGATCGCTAGATTAGCTGTTTGGCTCAAATCCCTGGAACCAATACCTAGTGACATTTTAAAAATTTTTCTTTCTTTTCTTTTATCTAGCATGCACAAGGTCCTTAGTTTGACCACCAGAAAAAAACAAAACTATGACCGCCCCCCTTAGGTATGAGGAATATACTTTCCTCTTTAGCTGGGCTCTTGAGATGTAATCACATTGAAACCAAACCAAATATTGGCTTTTACACCTTTGTTTTTGTTTTATTTTGTTTTGTTGGGCAGGGGTGCCATGAAGCCAGGGCTGGCTTTAAACCACTGATTCTGCAGCCTCTGCCCCTGGCTGCTGGGATTGTAGACATGCACTGCCTACTGTGCCTGGTTTGACTCCTTTTAAAAACATTTACAGGTACAGATGGTTGTATTCTGACCTGCCCCTTGGGGACCCGCCCAGTGTCCTGAGGCCATTCTACATTCCCTTTAAGAATAAACTTCTCCCCCTTCTCTCTCTCTCTCTCTCTCTCTCTCTCTCTCTCTCTCTCTCTCTCTCTCTCTTCCTCCCTCCCTCCTCCTCTCTCTCTTTCTTCTCTCCCTTTAATAATAAAACTTGCCATGCGGATGTCACGTCTGCCATGTGAGTAACTTTCCACCACGACACACTGCCGTCCACTGAGCACAAATGGCATGTGTCTCTCGCTGTGGGGCACCTTGGTCCAAACCCACCAAGGTCTCTCACACGCTGTTTCACAACATTAACAAGAGAAAATTGAAATCATCAGTTTCTCCAAGTAAGAAGTATGGATTCAGGCTTTGGTTTGGGCCACAATAGGTAAAGAAGCTGAGATGCCATCAGGTGAGAAAACAACCCTCACTGTCCAGTGAGTCTGTGAAGCCAGAAGCAGACACAGGAAGGTAGGAGTAGGGTTGACTGGCTTCTGGGAACTGAAAGAGAGATAGAGAGAACATCTGTAGGAGCAGCTCAGACGTACTTTGCTTAGCAAATGCTACCTTCACATGGAATGGACCTTCAGGAAGGAAAGGCCAGGACACACCTAGAACTGGAGAGAAAGAACTCAACTTTAGGAGCACCTAAGAGAACGGAAGGCCCAGGGGTGGCACACACCTATAATCCCATCACTCTGGAGTTTAGAGTATCAGATGTTCAAGGTCATCCTTGGTATATAGCAAATTTGAAGCTAGCTTGGGCTACATGAGACCCTGTTTCCATCCTCCTCCCCCTGAAAAAGAATGAACTTGCAAATTAAACTCAGCAAGTAAAATTCCCATGACTCACTAGTGTTCCTACAGTAAAGCAGAAATGACAGCCAGGTGTTGGTGGCACACGCCTTTAATCCCAGCACTTGGGAGGCAGAGCCAGGCAGATCTTTGTGAGTTCAAGGCCAGCCTGGTCTACAGAGCAAGATCCAGGACAGACACCAAACTACACAGAGAAACCTTGTCTCAAAAAAACAAAACAAAACAAAACAAAAAAAGAATATGAACATTTAAGATGGGCCTGGTGACTCAAATCTATAACCCTAGCACTCTGGAGGCAAGGGTTGGAGGACCAGTAGTTCAAAGGCAGCCAGGTTGTTAAGGCCTACAATCCCAGGTAGGAGATAGGAGGTTGCAATATATATATATATATATATATATATATATATATATATATATATATATATATATATATATATCCAAGTCCATGAATGTAACCATGTCTATATTATCAGATTAAAGGTAGTTTAATATTCCTCCATGGAGCATATATCATGTCCCTGTGACTCATGAGAGCTAGTACTGGAATCTTAGCAACTAGGAAAACAAGTAAATTTCCCTAACAAAACCGAAAGCCAGTAGCAAATATGGAGCCACATTGAAAGTACTGCTATTAAGTCTGAAGCAAGGTAGGTTACCTGTAGATGTATCCAACCTTCTTATTAAATAATAAACACAGAACCAATGCAAAGAAGAAAGCCAAGAGGTCAGAGCTAAGAGCTAAAACCTTACCCTTCCTCCTGCGGTGGTCCTACCTCTCCGAACCAGAGCTACCCCTGTGTTAAAGTCTTTATATAGAGTTCCTGTCCTGCCTTCTCATTGGTTGTAAACCCAACCACATGACCGCCTCCTCACAGCCTGTCTGTATAGGCCTCCAGGTTTTCCATGATTGGTATTAAGATTAAAAGCATGTGTATCCAATAATGGCTGTATCCCTGAACACACAGAGACTTACCCAGCTCTGCCTACCAAGTGCTGGAATTACAAACATACGCTACCACTGCCCTGGTTTCCTATGGCTTGCTAATAGCTCTGACCCCCGGGCAACTTTATTTATTAACATACAAATAACATTTTAATACAAATAAAATATCACCAGTTACCTGCTGCTAATTCTGTTTGGGTTTGAGGAATTCCAGATTATGTAACGTGATAAGAAAAAGTAATAAGGACTGTAGGAATTGGAAATAAAAGAGGGCATAGGATGCTTTCTTACCTTAGTGTCCCGGAGACCCTGAGTCCAATCCCCAGCACTTCAGGAACTGGCTGTTGTAGCTCATGCCTATAATCTCATCACTTGGGAGGTTGAGGCAGGAGGATATCACGTTCAAGGGCAGGCTGGGGACATTTGCAGTTGGTGAAATGCCTGCTGCACCAGCTGGAAGACATAAGGTTGGATCCCAGCAGTGGCAGAATCCTTGGAACTCATGAACCAATCAGTAAGCTCTGGGCCCAGGAGCCATCCTGTCTCAAAGGATAAGGTAGACACAGTTGTGGAAAACGCAGACACCAACCTCTGGCCTCCAGACATGGGTGGACACATACAGTGCACACAAAGAAGTCCAAAGTCATCCTCAGCTACACAGAAGTCTGAGGTCAGTTGAGACTATGTGAGGCTATTTCAAAAAGAAGGAAGGAAGGACAGGAAGGGGAGGGAGGAGGGAAGAAAAGTCAGAGAGGGTAGCTCAGTGATTTAGTGCTTGTCCAGCATGTACAGGGCTGTGGATACATTCTCCAGCACCACAGAGAGGAAGAGGAAGAGAAGAGGGGGAAGGGCATTACTTGTAGCTGATGTCTACATAAAATAATATAAACAATTACTGGTCACTTTCTACATGCAAAGTATTTAATATTAATGCATTAAAATTAGTATTTTGGGGTATATTCTTGCCCTGCGCCCAGTTCTGGAATTACAGACACAAATCAGTGCACTCAGTTTTTATTTGGATGCCAGCAATCCAAACTTAGGTCTTCATAAGGCTTCCCCACCAACACCCCCATCGAACTCTGCAATCTACAAGACCCAATTCCACTAAAATTAGGAACAAGACAAGGCTGTTTGCTTTCCTCATATTTATTCAATATAGTACTTGAAGTTCTAGCTAGAGCAATAAGACAAAAAAAAAAGAGATCAAGGGGATACAAATTGGAAAGGAAGAAGTCAAACTTTTGCTATTTGCAGACGATATGATAGTATACATAAGTGACCCCAAAAATTCTACCAGAGAACTCCTACAGCTAATAAACATCTTCAGTAATATGGCAGGATACAAGATTAACTAAAAAAAAAAAACTCAGTAGGTCTCCTATATGCAAATGGTAGACGGACCAAGAAAGAAATCAGAAAAACATCACCCTTTACAATAGCCACAAAATATATATAAAATACCTTGGGGTAACTCTAACTAAGCAATTGAAAGACCTGTATGACAAGAACTTTAAATCTTTGAAGAAAGAAATTGAAGAAGATATCAGAAAATGGAAAAATCTCCCACGCTCATGGATAGGTAGGCTTAGCATAGTAAAAATGGCAATCTTACCAAAAGCAATCTACAGACTCACTGCAATCCCCATCAAAATTCCAACACAATTCTTCACAGACCTGGAAAGAACAATACTCAACTTCATATGAAAAAACAAACAAACAAACAAACAAACAAAAAACTAGGGGAGCTGAAACAATCTTGTACAATAAAGCCACCTCTGGAGGCTGAATCACCATTCCTGACATCTAACTCTACTATAGAGCTATAATAATAAAAACAGCTTGGTGTTGGCATAAAATCTGACAAATAGACCAATGGAATCAAATTGAAGACCCTGACATTAATCCACACATATATGAACACCTGATTTTTGACAAAGAAGCCAAAACTGCAAATAGATCCATATCTATTGCCATGCACAAAACTCAAGTCCAAGTAGATCAAAGACCTCAATATAAATCCAGTTACCCTGAACCTGATAGAAGAAAAAGTGGAAGTAGTCTGGAATGCATTGGCACAGGAGACCACTTCCTAAATATAACACCAGTAGCACAGACACTGAGAGCAACAACTAATAAATGAGACCTCTTGAAACTGAGAAGCTTTTGTAGGGCAAAAGAGATGGTCAATAAGACAAAATGACAGACTACAGAATGGGAAAAGGTCTTCACCAACCCCACATCTGACAGAGGACTGGTCTCCAAAATATATAAAGAACCCAAGAAACTAGACATCAAAATAACAAACAATCCAATTTTAAAAATGGGCTACAGAGCTAAACAGAGAATTCTCAACAGAAGAATCTTAAATGGCCAAAAGACATTTAAGGAATTGCTCAACATCCTTAGTCATCAGGGAAATGCAAATCAAAATGACTGTGAGATACCATCTTAACACCTGTCAGAATGGCTAAGATCAAAAACACTGAAGACAGCTTATGTTGGAGAGGATGTGGAGCAAGGGGAACACTCCTCCACTGTTGATGGGAGTGCAAACTTGTGCAGCCACTTTGGAAATTAGTATGTCAGTTTCTTAGAAAATTGGGAATCAATCTTCCTCACTACCCAGCTATACCACTCTTGAGCTTATACCCAAGGAATGCTTAATCATACCACAAGGACACATGCTAAATTATGTTCATAGCAGTTTTATTCATAACAGCTAGAACCTGGAAACAACCTATATGCCCCTTAATTGAAGAATGGATAAAGAAAATGTGATACATATACACAATGGAGTACTACTCAGCAGAGAAAAACAATGACATCATGAAATTTCCAACCAAATGAGTGAAACTAGAAAATATCATACTGAGTGAGGTAACCCAGACTCAGAAGGACAAACAGTATGTACTCACTCATAAGTGGATACTAGATGTAAAGTAAAGGATAATCAGACTACAATCCACAGCTCCAGTGAAGCTAGCTAACAAGGAGGAACCTAAGAGGGAGGCATGCATCGCCCTGGGAAGGGGAAATAGATGAGATCTCCATGAGTAAACTGGGGGTGAGGGGAGCAATGGAGGGTAGGGGATGGGGCATGAGAACATAAGGGAATGGGAGGTCCGAGCTGGAACAGGGACGGAGTGGGAGAGCAATGAAAAAGTTACCATGATAAATGAAGACACCATGGGAATACGGAGAAACCAGGTGCTAGGGAAGTTCCCAGGAATTCACAAGGATGACCCCAGCTTAGACTACTAGCCATAGTGGAGAGGGTGCCTGAACTGGCTTACCCCAGTAATCAGATCAGTGAATACCCTAACTGCCTTCATCCATCATTGGAGCCCATTTTTAGGTTTCCTAGTAGCTTTACCCAGCAGGTCTGCATAAGGAGGATGGTTGGACCACTGAGACAATCTGCACTTGGCTGTGCTGCAGGGAGGTCTTTAAATTCCTTTAAATACCCTAGGGCAGAGACAGTCAGGGCCCAAATGGATTAGGATTCCGGCCCTCTTGAGGCTATCTTGTATTTTCTATCTTTTTCTCTCCCCTCTATCCTTCTAACTAATATTTCCTGCTGCTTCTACTCAAGAGGGGAAATGTGGGGGTGAGGGATGGCCCCTCACAATCCGGTAACTGATGGAAGCAAATGCAGAGATCCATAGCCAAGTACCAGACTGAGCTCCAGGAGTCCAGTCAAAGAGAAAGTAGAGGGATTCTATGAGCAAGGGGCATCAAGATCATGATGGGGAAACCTACAGAGACAACCAAACCAAACTAGTGGGAACTCATGGACTTTAGACCAACAGCTGTGGAGCCTCCATGGAACTGAACCAGGTCCCCTGCATAGCGAGACTGTTGTGTAGCTTGATCTGCTTAAGGGGCCCCTGGCAGTAGGATCAGGATCTATCCCTGGTGCATAAGCTGGCTTTTTGGAGCCCACCACCTACAGTGGGATACCTTGCACAGCCTTGATGCAGGAGGAGGTGCTTGGATCTGCCTCTGCTGAATGTACCGGGATCTGCTGACTCCCCATGGGAGGCCATATCTTTGTGGGGGAGGGAATAAGGGGTGGGTTGGGGGGAGGAAGGCTGGAGTGACAGGAGGAGGGAAGAGAGGGGGATGTAGCTAGAGTTTTCCTGCCTGGCCCACAGTCAGGGCAAATCTCTCTCACCTGCCAGTCCCACAGCCGCTCAGACCTGACCAAGTAAACACAGAGACTTATATTGGTTACAAACTGTATGGCCATGGCAGGCTTCTTGCTAACTGTTCTTTCAGCTTAAATTAATCCATTTTTATAAATCTATACCTTGCCACATGGCTCGTGGCTTACCGGTATCTTCACATTCTGTTTCTCATCATGGCGGCTGGCAGCGTCTCTCTGACTCAGCCTTCCACTTCCCAGCTTTATTCTCCTCCTTGTCCCGCCTACACTTCCTGCCTAGCCAATGGCCAATCAGTGTTTTAATTATTGACTAATCAGCAACACGTTTGCCATACAGAACATCCCACAGCACTTCCCCCATTTTTTTTTTTTTTTGAAAACGGAAGGTTTTAACCTTAACAAAGTAAAATTACATATAATTTGGGAATTTGGGCGTAGCTTCTCTTACTACTTCCTGCTGGAGGGGGGCGCTGTATCTTATGGGGAAACAAAGGAAATTTTAGGATTATGGAAAAGTCCATGAGGGTGTATCGTCTGAGCCAGTTGCCTTCAAACCATTCTGGATGTTGGATCATCTGGGCCATGGTGTCATCGGAGACCTTTCAGGGGGTCTTGGCTGGTCAAACCTGATGTATCTTAATCTTGAACAAATCCATAGCCTCTGGCTTTCTGTGGGAACAAAAGCAGAGTCTCCTTTCCAAAGTAACATATCCTTATATTCAAATTTTGAAGTCAAGGTACCTTTAAAATATACATTTCGGCATAACTCAACAGCTTTTACAATCAAATGTTTTTCTGCAGTTAAAAATCCCAAAGACAACACAATGCAGATTCTCTGTGTAATATCCATTTTTACGTGGCTTATTTTCTATATTAATTTTACTGTCTCTTTAAAGACTTTATTTTTTAAAACTATGTATTTGTTTATATAACTGTATATATCACCTTTTTTGTCTCTTTCAAGCCTACGTATTTTTACATACATTTTAAACTATTACATCTGAATCTGTCTTATTGTGAATCTATTGCTTTAAGCTGCAGCAGCTGTGGCTGCTGGCTCCGCCCACCTCAGCTTCCCAACATGGCTACGTTTACCACCAGCTCTGGGAGCTATCGTGGGTCTATGCTTTTTATCCAAGCAGCGTGTAGCCCAGAAACCTCTTTTTTTTTTTTTTTTTTTTTTGGTTTTTCGAGACAGGGTTTCTCTGTGTAGCTTTGCGCCTTTCCTGGGACTCACTTGGTAGCCCAGGCTGGCCTCGAACTCACAGAGATCCGCCTGGCTCTGCCTCCCGAGTGCTGAGATTAAAGGCGTGCGCCACCACCGCCCGGCCCTCTTTTTTTTTGTTTTGTACTAGAAAAGGCTAAATCCACAACACAGCTTAATGTGCCACTTGCAGAGGCCTCATTCCCGCCATATGGCGGCAGGTCGAGCGCACTCTAGGAACCCACCAGTAGCTCAAACCGGCAGCTGCCGCTCATTTGAGAGAGACAGTTAGGAACTGTTTTTAGCTCCGTTTTAGAATCTTTTTTTT